AGCTTCTCACAACGCAGGTGGTTGACCGGGGGGTTGCCCTCCAAGTTAAGGAACAGGTCATAGTTGAAACACACCTTTTTTGGGCTCCTCCTGAATGAAGGCGACCGGATAAATAGTTTTATTAGGGAATCTGCATCATTTTTACCATCTTGTAATTGCACGGGTGACAAAGTTAGCTGCATTTTCCTTTCTGCATTACTGTGATAATCACCTCTCAATGCCTACAAATTCCACAACAAAAGATAAAAGCTGAATGAGTGAACTAACTATCGCCTTGGCAGTCAAAAACACACAGGCATTGCTGGATAAGAAACAACTAACATTCCTGAGAGAAGCAGTGAAGTTGTAGAGAGGAGGACAATTAAAGCTGAGAAAAAGCATTAAGATGCTCTTGACAGATTTTATAAACAAAAACCTGAAGTGGATTAACGCTTGCTCAGATTTACATGCCTGCTATTTACCTTCAAGCATTTTCTTGATCTTCTCGGCAGATCTGTCTGTTTGTGTTTAAGTTAACTGCACATAAAAGGAGGATGTAACATTTGTGGATGCAGTCCAGAGGTCTAATATTATGAAGACTTGTAGGAGGCAATGGTGCACTAATCTCCTAAGTGTTGCCCTTATCTGGTAATGAAAGTAAAGTGGTTCTTTCTTCCATTATTCATTTAAATGGCTGATGGAGACTTAAAGGTGCCAGTTTAACAGCATGTGCTCATTTTATTTATTTCACTTGAAGACAGAAATGTCTCTACATTAAAGAAATGTTTCACTAACGCAATCAAGCATTGGGCTCAGTGGATATGTAAGAGCAAGTGTCTAACCTACTGAAGAGTTCCTATTTAAAGCTCTCTAATCTGAACCCATTCACAGTAAATATTGGTCCATCTCAGCTTCTGAACCATCACTACATTTATATGCACTTAACCAATCTGATTATTCCTGCTTCAGAGCAGTAACCTGATTTCAGAAGCCTCGAGTAAAAGGGAAACCCAGTTCTCTTTATCAACTTAAAGAATTAACCTAGGGTAGATCCCTGTCAACAAAAACCTGGTTTCTCCTTATGAGTCCTATTCAGACAAGATTTGTTTCTCTTGACTAGGTGGGTTGAATTTAACATCATCGGTGCTGGTTGGTAATTTTAGTCATGTCTGAAGCATGTGAGAGTAATAATTACCCACTGTTCTTCAACAAACTCGCTGATGATTTAAAGTCTACGCAGAGTGATGTCCTTGTATTTTAAAGTGGACCTCTGAGCTTTTCTATGTGAAACACTGCCTTTCCTTCTTCTATTTCCCTCAACCAATCAGAATAAAGCTTTTGTGTGAAAATGCTTTTGCTAAACTGATGAAAAGTGTTAACATATTTGAAAACAAATACAACAGCAGAAAAAGTTAAAGCCATCAGGAGAGCAAGACCTGGTAAAAGCTGAGGTAATGTCAGCTACAGGTAGTCATTGGCATTAACTTTTGGCTAGCCCTGCAGAATGTCCACGTCTATCACACACCACATCCTGTAATACCGATGGTTAAAACGCCATCCGAAAGAAGAGCTATATTACTGAGAAGCACAGATAATATTTTATTCACTGCTTCCCCCTGTGACGTTATTCCTAGTCAAACAGGGCTCATAGGTTTCCACACTCCTAACAGTTTTCAAAAAATCTGTTTCCAAAACTCAAACCGTACTGATTATTTCTAAAAACCAATCATATCTAATATTGTGTCCACAGCCTAAATTTCTTTTCTGTAAATACAACACCTACATAAAGAAGCCTGTCAACAGCCCACATCTGTGTCCAGTCAGCCTGACCTTGTTTTTGAAGTACACCTCAATAGGCATGAGGAAGCCTGCGTAGCCCGACTCCTCCACTTTGTATGGCGGCTCCTTGCATACTGTAAACAGACAAAGATGTGTCAGTGATATTACACTCACATTTATCACCAGAGTCACATACTGGAATAATAGCAGCATTTAATGGGATAGAAAAACCTCTTGGTTTACTTTAGTTTGTGACATTTACTAGATTTATTGTATCAGATTTAGCTATGAGCTCATTTCCATCTGCAGGCCCTGGGCAGACAGACAATTACTAGTTAAACAAAAAGGCAGGTTCTGCAAAGGCAGAGCTCCTTCTAGGTATTCAACGTGCTGCCCTAGTACTTCATCTTAAAGCGCTTATCAATATAAAAGACAAATATCTGCTAAAGTCTCTCACAAAATGAGACATTACTTGAAAATGTCAAAGATTATGCTGCATTTCCATTACTTTAAATAACCTTTTTTAATAATGACTTTTTTCCAAACAATAAAAGAACATATTATAATTGGTTACTTTTGTTAAGCTATTAATGTCGCCCATGCGGCCCCACCTTAGTTTGCCCCAAGGGCGTCAAAAAGCAGTGACAATGAAAATAAATTATCCAAGACATCTGACTTGTTGAGACCTTTACAAGATGAATGATGAGTGCACCAATTTATAAAACAGACAAATGTAAAGACTAATTCTATGAAGAAGTATCAAATACTGTATGGAAAGTTCATCATGAGATTTAGCTTGTCCCATCTCAATTAAATTGTTCTCATTTTTCACTACTCTACACTAAATTTTAAACACTCTGGTCATTATCTACCTGGTTTGTTTATATTACACTATCTTCTATTTGTCTCATTTATCGAGAGGAGCCAGCTGAGGTGGCTTCAGTGCCTTCATCTTATCTGTATCTGCTAAATTAGTTTACAGCCACAGAACCACCAGTCTGAACCTAGTGTTAGCTGCTCATAAATAAATATGTCAGTCCAGTAGAACGCTTGGGTTGCTGCTAATGTGACACAGAGAACAAACATTAGACTAAACTTGAATTGCTCCCAAATTAAAATCATAATACAATATGAAGATAAAGTAATGACCACACCAGCTCACTAATTGTACCAAAACACTTCTATTTGTCTCTCTGTGCCTTCATCTTATCTATATCTGCTAAATTAGTTTACAGCCACAGAACCACCAGTCTGAACCTAGTGTTAGCTGCTCATAAATAAATATGTCAGTCCAGTAGAACGCTTGGGTTGCTGCTAATGTGACACAGAGAACAAACATTAGACTAAACTTGAATTGCTCCCAAATTAAAATCATAATACAATATGAAGATAAAGTAATGACCACACCAGCTCACTGATTGTACCAAAACAAAAACATTAGCTTTAGATATTAATACATCCAGAAAATAGCACATGTGAATCAAATTTGAGTCCTTTGGCTGCTTTTCACGTTCTCATTCTCAAAAAGCAAAACTCATGTTAACCCTGGTTTGTGCTCTCTGTGCAGGAGAACGTGACCTCTTCAGTCTGGCAGCCACCATTTCAGACTTTTAGCTCCCGAGAGCTCCTCTATGGTTGGCCGTTTGAAATGACTACTCACAGTTCAAAAAATGGTTCTTAGAACCTTCGCTAAGTGGCAGGCGTGGCCAATCTATGGACCAGACTTTGACAACACAGGATAGAAAAGCTGGAATAACAACAGAAAGGTTGTAGGGAGCAGAGTTCAAGCTGTAGCTTATGCTCTTGGGGCCGTAGCTGAGAGATACCACGTCCTCCCCACTGTCACTCAATTTATCAGACAATGTGTGAAATCTTAGTTAATGCACTTTAAACGAAACATCACCGATAAAACTTGTTTGTGTGCATGTTCTCTGTCGTACCTCTTTTAGGTTTGGGGAAGCTCTCGTGCAGGCGGAAGACAACCTTCTCCACAAAGTGCTGGATGTCACCGGTCTCTGGCCCTCGGACAAACACCATCCAGTCATGGGTGAAGCCTTCTGATGTCACTTTCTTCCTTAGCTGGGCTCTGTGGCCCAACTCCAGCTTCACCTGCACTGTGCACTGAAAAGGGATGAGAAGAAACAAGTCACATACTGTATATGACTATACAAGGCCCATACACATGGGAGTACAGTAAATACACGAGGCAAACACCGGTAAAATGTGAACTACAAGTGTGGGACCAGAAACAACAGATTTAATCTGATCAAATATCTGCCTTTTTTTTTTACACTTTGCACATAACGTAGTGAGCAGAGGAAGGTCAAATAAATGCCTTGTGATTTTCGTGCAAGTGAATTCCTTCCTTTCTCACAGTGGAAAAATTTACATGTCAATTTAATCCCTTTCTATTAAGTCTATATTTATATAACCTGTGAGATATCACGTATAAGTGTAATTTATGTCCCAAATAAAATGTGTCATGTGTTTAGTAAGTACGTATGTAAACTTCATTTCTCGATTGCCTCTCAAAACCAGAGTTACAAGGTGCATCACAGCTCCAATCAAAGCACTGTGCCATAAAACACAACAACAATTTCAAGGAGCTGAAGTCATTTCTTATTTAAAAATGCCATAAATTCGCTGGCCACATCGGCTCAGGTTCCAAATGTTCTATGATAATAAAATGAAAATCTCTGGGGTTTGAACTGTTGCTTTGACAAAATAAGACACCTGAAGACATCACCTTGAACTCTGGGAAACTGATGGACATTTCTCATTGTTTTCTGACATCAAAATAGACTAATTTATAAAATACTGTGTAGATTAATGAGAATAACTGTCAGCTGTAGCAGTGCTGCAATGCCAGGGTTAGTAAGTACAAGGACGCTTCTAAAAGCATCGTTATACTGTTAACCTAACAAAACAAAACATCTGAAGGCAACACTTTCTCTGCAGCCTGACGTTTGAACAAAAATCTATTAATGAAAATGACTGTAGATAAATCCTGTAGTGCGAAATTACAGCTGCAAAAATATCCTGCAGGCCAAGGTTGCTTCAGGTTCAACAACTTTAAGACTTAACACCACATGCAATAAACGTTTTACACCAATTTAATACACTCAAAGTATTAAAGATATCAGTAAAAATGAATAGGGACAACAAGGCCCAGAATAATTTACTGAGTGCAATGTGAAATCATTATTTTTCAGCCAATTTATTCACATTTATGCCATTATTTCATTGTATATTACTAATAATTCTTAAACATGACCTGAGGGTGGACACACAGCAGAAAATAGATGGTTGAACAAATTAAATTCTTTAATAACCAATTTAAGGTCAAAGGTCTGGAACAATAGTGATGGGGATTTACCTACCAGTTTTTGCTAAAATCACATACAAAAACATGTTTTAACGTTACTGCCCACAGCAAGCTAAAACGTTTTAACTAACGTTACTGCCCACAGCAAGCTAAAACAAATATTTACCACTTTTTTTAATTAACCCTTTTTTGAGACAACATAAATCAGTATTAAAGACTGTTCAAGACATGCAGATACCCTAAAATAAAAAGGAAAGCCAGTGGTGAGATTAATCCAAGAGATTATCATTCACTAGTTTCTGATTCCACTGTGAACAAAAGCTCTGCATCTATTCTAAGTGCGTGGAGTTCAGAGGAGAGGCTGAACCCTGGACAAACACAATGCTGGACTGGTGTCGGGACACTCCCTGTAGGATGGAAGTATGAGCTACTTGAGTCGATAGATCTCAAAAGGTTTGCCCAGAAGAGGCATGCACTGCTGGGCTGCACCTCCCTCACATGAACAATAACAGCAATGGAACACATAAATGACAGTGCGCTGGTGCGATAGTAGTGATTGCCATTGCAAGTGAAGAGGCTATAGAGATGAAGTGCAGAAGGGAACAAGAGGTGGGTGGGGAGCGAGAGGGGACAGAAAGGCACTTTATGGCCAGGGTACGACTAAAGAATGAGGGGCACTGAGACGCTCGTGAGCAGAGACAGAGTGGGGGGGGGGGGGAAAGGGGACAGGACTGAGATGAGCTGGTCTCTCACACACAGACACCATGCCTGGCACTCTGCCTGGCCATTCTGTGCCAGTAATGCCCTTAAACTCCAGACTCCACCACACCCACAGCGAGCAGCCATGAAGTCCTTCCAATCGCCAGCACCCCCTCCCTGTGAGGAGCCCGCAAAATCAGAAATGTGATAAGGACAATATAAATATCTGGATCATAATGAACCAAAGAGGAAAACAAAAGATATCAATGAGAACAATAAACTCAAATGCCTCATACTAGTCATTCTCACCAGTATCAAACTATTAAAGAGCACAGGAGCAGCACAGGAGGCTGAGAAAATTCTAGACCTGCAACTACAGATTATTCAAAAACTGTGCAAAAGTGCTCATCACAATTATTCCCAATGCCCAAGGTGATGTCTTCACCAACTTATTTTGTCTGACCAAAAGCCCAAAGACAAAAAAATTCAAAATACTGACTTTACTGTGATATAAAGCAGAGAAAGGCAGCTAATCTTCATAGTTTTGAAGCTGGAAAAAGCAAATGATTGAAATTTTTGCAAAAAAGTCTCAACCAATCAAAACACAAAATACTAATCAATACTAATGCATTCATTTCTGTCAACCAATTAATCTACAATAACAGAGATTATAACAGGCCTAATAATCAACTACGTTTTAATACAGATTAATCCAACAATTATTTCCTTGATTAAATATTTGATTTAGGACTTATTTACTTTACTAAACTGTCTTAAACCAGGACAGATTAAAAAAAAAGAGCAATGCAACAAACCAATCAACAGTGTTCAAAGTTCAAACACCAGGAACAAATATCATCATAAACAAAACTAGATTAGAACCAGGACAAATAAAACCAACTGTAACAAACCAGCCCACACTGTTCAATGTTCACATTTTTGTCAGTGTTTAAGACACTTGGACACCTTAGACTTGCCAATCAGATGTCCAAGGTGATGTCTTCAAATATCTTGTTTTGTCCTGCTAACAGACCAAAATCAAAAGGCTACAATTACAGTGATGCAGGAGAGAAAAGCATCAAATCTTCACATTTTATAAGATGGAAAATGCAGCTGATTGGCACTTTTACTAGAAAAAATGACAACAGAGCTATAGTAGTTTTCTGATAATCGGAATATTGATGGAGATGGACGTGGACTGACGTCGAACATCTCTGGTGTTTCATATGTTCAGATTCTGAACATAAGAACCATCAGAGAGGTTCAGAGACATATGGTCAAAAACACACTGCTTAGGTTTCTTATCCATCAAGTCCACCAGAAACAAGGAAGACAAAATGACTTTCAGCAACACATTTAGTCATCGTCAGCTAAAGACAATGCAGGGGATACAAAAACAAATCACACAAAGCCACTAACACTGAGATGAAGTCCCCTCTCTCATTCTCATACACAGAGCTCCAGTTGAGGAAAATACACATTTCTGCGCACACTGATTCCCATGAAAACAATAAACCCCCAGCTGTCATGTAAATAACTGCCCTCATGACTATGTTAATCTCTTCCAGCTAGTAAATGACTGAAATGAAAAGTCAGAAAGTTTCCCTAAGAGAACACGCACACACACACAATCATCATAAAAGCTGTGGTCTGATGATGCTGTAGACTCCAGGTAAATCCTTCACCCTGCCCAACCTTAAATATCTAAAAGATGACACAAAGAGAGGTGAAACGGTGACTTCTGTTGGAAAATGGTCGATCCCACAGAGCCACAGGAGAGTAACAAATGGCCTATCTGCAGCACCCAAGGAAAACAGTGAGCACTGAAAATAGGGTGTGTGAATGAGTGCGCGGGGATTACGACAAACTGCATGACCACTCATCCTGTCATCCGAACTGCTGTGTTCATACACAGAGATCTCTCAACCAGAAAACAGCAAAGATTCCAGTATATGCACACAAAGTCACACATGAAGCAGTTTGGCTTATCAACATGTTTTTAAGTTGTTATAATAATGCAATATGCAATAAATATATAAAAAAATACTTAGAGGTTGAACTTGACTCCTTTCTGGGTGTAATGCTCTCAAGTGCAAGTTTAGCAAGTCCACCTAACTAAACTAAAGCAGTTAAATACAAATGCCCCTACAATAAATCCTCATGCTTATAAATGCCCCTACAATAAATCCTCATGCTCATTATGATTATTTATATTAGTGGGGGCTGACAAACACCTTTTATGACACAGCAGCACAATTCAACAGCACCATAAACTACAGCCTCCAAAATTGCCAAAATGTTATATCAACACCTGTCTAGAGCAGATTTAACAGGACTTGAACATTGCAACTCTAGGATTTATTGCACAGCTGCGTTATTTTAACAGCATGTACCAATAAACTGGTAACTGTGCATATATTTGTGTAATAAGAATGAACACAATTCATGCAAATCCTTCACATGTGACATAGGTCTAAACATTCATCACAGATGTACAGCCACGCTGTCCTTTAAACGCAAAGAAGAAGCCTTCCTCTGGATGCACATTCACAGATCTAGTTAAAACTTCAAAGGAGTCAACACTGAATGGGGACTAGTTCCAAGAAAGTGGCTCAGCCATTTTCCACGGGTGTGTGTGGCCTAACGATCAAAAATACAGTCCTGAATAACCTCAGGCATTTTGAGAGTAACCCATTCTGTTGCAACATCTCCATCACAATAAAAAGATATGTAATTTGTTTACCCACTTTTCTGTTTTCTGCAAATTGTGTAGCTTTTTATGGTGACATCCTAACTGGGCAAATGTATAGTATGAAACATGCAACAGAATGAAATGATCTCTTGTCAAATCAAAGGGTTTACAGACCAGTCTTTAAAATTTGATTTATACTCTGGGTTCTTTGTAATGATCAACCAAAGTAAGGGTGGTCATGACTGGACCAAGTTCAACGTTTGCCACACACAGCTTTTCCGCTGTGCTACATGCATTGTACTCTACAATGACTAGTGTGGGAGGCATTTAGCATCAACCTATGTTTGCAAATGATGCAACTGCCAAAAAGTTATATCAACAACTCTACATTTAGCATTTAACATCAACCTATGTTTGCAAATGATGCAAAGATATTAGAGAAAGGGTATGCTCCTAGCTGGCTTTATTAACTTTGCATTTTAATACTTCAGGCCGTCGGCACTGGAGACGCCACCTCGTCTCTCCAGCCCAACCTGGAGAGGGCAAATCATTTCCCCGGCGCCTTACAGCAGCTCCTTAGCCTTTAGCCAACGGCCGACTCTCTTCTAGTAGGTAGACTAGCTTAGCTTAGCTACACAAAACGGCTTAATTTATCCCTCGGGGTGTTTAATTGTGTGAATGTGCTTTTTAAACACAGCCGATCAGAATAAGCTCAGGTGTAAATCTCTTTGTGTGCCTTGTGGTAGCTACAGCTATGCCACGGTGCTGAATGGTGAGGTAGACCAAAGCTAGTTAGCGGTAAATACCGATGTATGGGTGCCGAGCTAGCATAGCTCCAGAGCCAAACAACTACGAGCTCGTTAGCAGCAGGAGCTTTTTTTTTTTTTTTTTGGCTAGCAGAACGGAGGATTCATTCCTGCCGGCACACAGCATGCTGACATTTTCGCCGTCAAACGTTCAGATTCCATAAGGGGACACAAAAGCCACTGTACCTGATTCTCCATGTTTCTCTGGCTTCAGTGATTGTTGTATTTATTTACAGCGGCGTCTGCGGACCGTCTGCCCAACCTCTGCTCCTCATTGTGTGTCAATCCAGCCCAGAAGCGGAAGGCAGACAGCCCCCCTCCCCTTCCAGACGGCTGCTGGCAGGCGACCAAAACAGAAAGCTCTCTCAACCAATCAGAGAGCTGGAATTTTAAGAATGCTTAAAATGAACCAATAAAAACACTTGAGAGGCGGGAGAGTGCCCGAGCTGCAAATACAACTAAAGCATTTGCTGGTGGTTTTCTCGAGTGACAGCGAGCTTGTCCCAATGGCTGCAGCTCTGTTTCAATTGTAAAATGCACATGATGCTAATTGATTAATCGGGGTTCTACTGTACGAGCTTCATATTATAGCGACTGCCATTGATATGCTTAATACAAAATCAATAACCTTAATAAAAGAGCATTATATATTACTTATGTAACTTAATACAATATGTCCTGATATGCAGTGGATATGAACATGTGATTAACATATGAAATATCTTTGATTTTTGGACTGAATAACGGAAAAAATCAAGCCATTTCAATTTGTCATCTTGCGCTGGGAAGTCTGCCCAACCTGTGGGAGCGGTAAATACCGATGTATGGGTGCCGAGCTAGCATAGCTCCAGAGCTGTGGGAAGTTTGAATAGGTGTTTATAACATTATTTAAAAAAAATAACAGATAATTGATCGCTCATCTTGAATTGTCAGAGCACTTCAAAATTCCCCAGTCTGGCACACTTTATAGAATATGTGAGCATTTTCATGCATCTCTGGTCTAAGCTTCTGTGTCTTAAACAAATCTTATTAAGCCACAATAAATTCACTTAAAATAATTGTTTTACTTCATTCCACTACCTTTTCTGAGGTACTCTACTGTTTAACAGTTATAGTTACTCATTAAATATGACAGCATTCCTGATTAGACTACCAAACAATATACCATATGCACCAATTAGCTCCACTTACAACATCTACAACACTGAAATCCAGTGCTCTGGCTGCATTTCCACAGTTCCATCTGAAAAGAGAGCAGTACACCACCTGTCTGAGACATATCTTTTCTACAGTCAGGGCATGGGGGCCCATTGTAGTCTAGTCTCTGTGCTGCTCAGACTTTGATGTGAGATTAGCTCTGGGACACAAGGTCACCACTCTCACTGGCCCGGTGCTGTCCCTTCTTCTCATGCTGCTCAAACTGATCAGGTCTGCCTCTCTGTCAAATCTGAGTAAAAGAAGTCCCACCTAGCTGTTAGACATGAGAGTTTCCACTCATATTGAGCAGTCAACCTTTATAAGCCTTCTTTTCAGTAGGTAGGAGGAGGGAGAAATACAAAATGAAGACATTACTCACAGGTTTCACATACATACAGTAGTAGACCTTTATTATAACTGGTAATAAAAGTTTTTTAAAATCCTGTTTATAACAAAACAATGTTAATTTTAACATGATACTCTTCTATGATGAACAAAATTTTCATCACTCGCAAGGCATTCATTCAAACTTGAACTGTTTGATTAACAATGTGCATAAAACATTTCCCTGAATGAAAGAATACCTCTACAACAACAACAGTTTTTGGCTTCTGACCCCATAAATAAATAATCTTCTACTTCTGACCCCATGTTAAAGGTTATGGCCTTAGCATGATCATTTTCTTCACTAAATGTTTAATTCAAAGGACTTTTAGAGACCAGACGAGTCATGTTCTTCACCCTCTCATGTATGTAGCTGGGCAGGACAAAAATATAGAGACATCTCTAAATATAATGTAACCCAGTACAACACCACCTTTAACTATGACCTCAATAATAAACATATAATTGAATTTATAGATTTATGACAATTTAACTAAAAACTGAAACATTTTGAGCTTCATAAACACCGATGTTGAGGTGGACGTGTTGCACTGAAATGCATACATTTGTACAAGTGTACCTCACAAAGTGGCTGGTGAGTGTATATCACCACCCACAGGAGGTCACTGTTGAACACTAAAGTGCTGGGGACACATGTACATTTCATTTTGTAAAACATCTATTGTTATATCTATCACATCCTTCAGAAAAGATCATGTGAATGGAGGCACAGTATTCCTGCATATTCTCAAAACATCACCAATACAACAAAAAGGTCATGTGCGGTCAGTCATACAGAAGACATACACCAGAAGACATACAACAGAGAATTACTTGAAGTTGACAAATATATGTTACTGAAATAATACAAATGTCTTCAGTACCAAAGATGGAAGTACATAAAATTCTAACATGTTACTGTACAGATAACTTTAGCTTTCCTGGTGTTATATGCACAGCTCATAGTAGGCCAGTCCTAGGTTGTGTGATTATGAAACTACCACATGTTGATATTTTAAAACTGGAGCAAAGGTTGTGACATAAATATGCAGGGACAGATAGAAGAGGATCAGAAAACCATGTGGGGACTGTTTGGATGAACCCCACCTGTCAGAGTTAAACCTGAGACAAACAAGAAGCAAGACCAGTCGCACTGGCATCTTAATTATCACAACCATAGGAATAGTTGTAAGCTGATTACTTTCCTGGCTCCTCGCTAAAGCGCCACAGACAATGACAAGCTCAAGAAACAAGAGGAGCCTCTGGTTCCACAACCCTATGCCTGAGATAGAGGGCAAAGAAGGCAATACCATAGTGGCAAAAATTGACCTGTGTAAACTCATACAATGTAATGAAGACCCAAAACAGTACATTCGGACAAGTATATCTGTACCCAGGATGATGGAAGTGGTATGTATGGGAGTAGTATCACATACTGCCCCACATGGGATTTTCTTGTAGCTAACACAGGATCCTCAGATTTGGGATACAATCCCACCTCTCCACAGAAGAATTGACTAACTATAGTCAAGGGCAGCAGCGACCCTCAAGATTGCACGATAGATAATTGTAGGACCAAAAGAGCGGTCAACCCCGGAGGTTCATTTGACAACAGAGTGTACATAGACGCAACTGGCGTACCCAGAGGAGTACCTGACGAGTTTGAAGCTAGAAATCAAATAGCCGCAGGGTTGGTTTTCTTTCCTGGTGGGTCACAGTAAATAAAAATGTGGATTGGATTAATTACTTATACTATAACCAACAGCGTTTTGTGAATTACACCAGAGATGCAATTAAAGCCATAGCAGAACAACTAGGCCCAACTTCTCTCATGGCATGGCAAAATGGGATGGCCCTGGATATGCTGTTAGCTGAAAGAGGAGGAGTATGTAGAATGTTTGGCACATTTTGTTGTACCTTTATACATAACAATACCTCCCCAAATGGCAGCATCACCAAGGCCCTTGAAGGATTGACAGCCCTATCCGAGGAGCTGGCTGAGAATTTGGGCATTGACAACTCCTTCACCAGCTTCCTAGAATCCTGGTTCGAACACTGGAGCAGCCTAATCACCTCTGTGCTGGTCTCTCTGTCTGTGGCTGCAGCCCTGCTGGTTGTATGTGGCTGTTGTTGCATTCCCTGTCTACGAGGACTGATGCAGAGACTGATAGACACTGCTCTGACCAAAACCATGTACCAACAAGTCTGTGATGAGTACGGCGCAAGAGATCACCATGAACCGGACGAGTGGGTTTAAAAAGAGACTTTCCTGATTCTGATCTGCATGAAGCATGTATGACTTGTTTTAATGAAAACCTGAAAGGGAGTGTTTAAACAACGAGGTCCCGGGATGGACAAGATTAAGAATTATGCTGTAAATAATGTGTTTCTAAAAGTTTAAACAGGGGGGAAATGTTACAAATATTACGCTATTAAATATGTTTTAAACTTTCAAAACAAAGCCATGTGAGAAACTGACTGTGTAAGCCTGAAGTACGTTCCTATCTTTCCTGTGAAACTCTGTGTGCTGTGATATACCCCTCTACAGAATGTTCCAGACGAAAGAGAGACACAGCTGTCAACCGCAGGCTAAACACGTGTTCCAGTATGATTAGCTTCTAGGTTGCGCTATCAGGGCATGCCTTTTAACTATATATATAATGCTGTGTGAACCTACCTTACTCAGACAACTCTGTACCGTCATGCTGACTTGTCTCCTTGCTGAAAGAATTAAACTGTTTAAGACGATTCCAGTGACGAGATTGCTTTATAAGAAAAATTCTCATAACACTAGTGCAGTAGGGGTAAACGGCTGCCCTGTTGGAAACTTTATGTAAAATACATTGATAAGTAGAAGCGACTGTAGTATCTGCTACAGCCCAAGCTCAGTTATCTAGTCACCAGTCAGTGTGTCAGGCAGTCTCACCCCTCCAGCTTTGATCAGCTTTCTCCTGAATTCTTTGGTGGGGTTGTTGAAGGTGAGCTTCTCACAACGCAGGTGGTTGACCGGGGGGTTGCCCTCCAA